TAATTTGAGCAACAGAATTAAGTAATATTGGATTATAGCCCAAACTCTAAAATAAATATCCTACTGACATGAGTGCTGATTTAAATATAAATGCTTGAATAAATAAATAAATAAGAACAGAGAAAAGCTCCAAATTATTTATATAGATACTCCACAATCCAGGAGATGGAGCACAACTCTTCACTGTGTGGAATGCAGATAGTTACTTCCTTTCAAATTAAAAAACTATTTTAGAAACCTGGCAAAAACTACCACAGCCAGGTGATAAAGGTCAATACCAATGGTAATAATTATGTTGATAATATGTACCCTTGAGATGAATTGATTAAAATGGTGCTTTACCTCTATGATTTTCCTCCCAAAACAAATAACCCCAGGGTAATTATGAACAAAAATCAAACAACTTCCAATTAAGCCAGATAGGGTGGCTCACACCTGTTATCCCAGCACTTTGGGAGGCTGAGTCAGGAGTATCACGTGAGCCCAGGAGTTAAAGACCAGCCTAGACAACATAGCAAGACCCTGTCTCTACAAAACAATAAAAAAATTACCTGGGCACAGTGGCATGCTCTTGTAGTTCCAGCTATTTGAGAGGCTGAGGTGGAGAACTGCTTGAGCTCAGGAGTTTGAGGCTGCAGTGAGCTATGACCACACCACTGTATTCCAGCCTAGGCAAAGAATGAAACCCTGTCTCAAAACAAAACAAAACAAAAATTCCAATTGAAAATCATTCTACAAAATATCTAAACAGTACTCCTCAAAACTGCAATAGACATCAAGAAAGAATTTGAACAACTGTCATAGCTAAAAAGTTAACAAGTACTTTCAAGGGCGTGGAGAAAAGGGAACCTTGGGCACTGTTGTTGGAAATGTAAAATACAGCCATTATGGAAAATAGTTTGGAATTTTCTCGGAAAACTAAAAATAGAATGATCATGTGATCTGTAATCCCATTTCTGGGTACATATCCAAAGGAATTGAAATCAGTATGCTAAGGAGATATTTCTACTCCCATGTTCACTATAGCAATATTTAAAATAGCTAAGATATAGAAGCAACTAGGTGTCAATCATCAGATAAATGGATTTTTAAAATGTGATATATATACACAATGGAATACTATTCAACCTTAAAAGGGGGGGGGAATCTTGTTATTTGCAACAATGTGGATGAACCTGAAGGACATTATGCTACGTAAAATAAACCAGACACAGAAAGACAAACACCACATGATCTCCCTTATATGTGAAATCTAAAAAAGTTAAACTCACAGGGGTAGAAAGTAGAATGGTGGCTATGAGAGGCTGGGGGAAGAGGTGAATGGGGAAAGGAAAGATGTTGATCAAAGGGTAAAAAGTTTCAGTCGGACAGGAGGAAAAAGCTTTAGTGATCTAATGCACAGAATGGTGACTATAATAAATAATGATGTATATTTGAAATTGCTGAAAGAGGAGGTTTTAAATGTTTTCACCACAAAACATAAGTATATGAGGTGATGGATTTGTAAATTAGCCTGATTTAACTAGTTCACATTGCAAACATATATTAAAACATCGTATTGTACTCAGTAAATATATGCAATTATTATTTGTCATTTAAAAATAAAATTAAAATGAGGAAATCAATTAATCTTTAAAAAAAAAAACTGTCACAGCCAAGATGAACCTAAAGGACAGGATGACAAACTATAATGTGGTATATACTGCATGGGATTCTGGAGCAAAGTAAAGGCATTAGGTAAAAACCTAATTAGGACATTTGAAGAAAGTATGGACTTCAGTTTATATGAATATATCAATGTTGTGTCATTAATTGTAACAAATGTACCATACTAATATAAGATGCTAGTAACCCTGGAAACTGAATATGGCATATATGGGATTCTATCAATCTTCATATATTTTATGTAAATCTAGAACTGTTCTTAAATAACAGTTTATTGCAGGGAAAAACCCTATTATGCCCCACAATTCCACTCCAAGGTTTAAACTAGGTATTTACCCAAGAGAATTGAAAACAGGTACTCAAGTGCATGCACATGTTTATTCACAGAAGCACTATTTGCAGTAGCCAAAAGGTGGAAACAGCTCACATGTCCATCATCAGATGAATGAATAAACAAACTGTGGTCTGTACATACAACGGAATACTACCCAGATATAAATAGAAGTACTAGATACATACTATAGCAATGAACCTCAAAAACATAATGCTAAGTGAAAGAAGCCAGACACAAAAGGTCACATACTATAATGCCTTTGTTTACATGAAATATTTAGAATAGCTATATGTACAGAGACAGAATACAAATTGATGATTGTCAGGGACTCAGAGGAGAGGAAATGGGGATAAAATGCTTAATGGATATGAGATTATCTTTTGGAGAAGTAGAAATGTTATATAACTAGATGGAGGTGGTGATTATACAACACAGTGAATGTACTAAATACCATTGGATTGCTCACATTAAAATGGTTGATTTTGTTAGGTGAACTTCACTTCAATGAATTTTAAAAAGAGAGAGGGGAACAAATATTTTCTACCTCAAAAAAAAAAAACCTCAAAATATTCTAAAACATATGAATAAATATTTAAGGAAAACAGAAAACAAAATCCACAATTGCAAAATAAATTATTGCAAGGAAAACAAATTCTTAGAACCTTTATCTGTGAAACAATACATTCACAGAGATTAACACAGCAATAATCTCATACAAAAATAAAAAATTATGAAACAAAATAAGATATAGCTGAAACAACCAAATAGATATGAAAAAGAATTAATTAAATGTCTTCAAAGTTCAAATATAGTCATTGAAATAAAAAATGCAATCAAACTTAAAAATAAACTTAGATAAAGAGACAATTAGTAGTGGGGAATTCACCCAGAACTTGGAAAGATAATGAAAATAAAGAGCAAATAAGGAACAAGAAAAATAGCTCAAAGGACCTCAGGTGTATTTAGTGAGAGGTTCAGGGAAAAAAAAAAAAAAAAAAAAACCAAAGGAATGGTGAAGAGGCAATGATTAAGAATATTCAAGAATGAAAAACTGAAACTCTCAGATCAAAAATTAAATTTGAATATTATGTTAAAAAATAGACGTATTATAGTGAAATTTCAGAACTTCCTGATAGAGAAAAACCTAGAATAAGTCAAAGAAGAGACTATCTACAAAGGAATGACAGTTCAGCTAAGAGCTGACTTATCCACAGCAATTATAGACACCAGAAGTTTGTAAAGTAATATCAGCAAAACATTTTAGAAAAATAACTCAATGCTATACATATCATTCAAAGGTAAAGGTTAAATAAAGACATTTTCATATGTAAAAGAGTTTAATGGTGCTTATTATCTACAGATCTTCATATACACACATAATAAACACTGTTAAAAGAGTAAGCACCTCATCCAGATCAGTGATGAGCCCAGAGGGAAAAGTCTTTTAAATAAGGGGCTGGAATAAAACAACAGTAAATACAGAAAATAATTTTTAACAATAAGCTAACAAATTGTACTAACTACTGACTATAATATCAAATGACAGCTAATGATGGTTGTTTTGTAAAAATTGGAACTAAAATCTTGATAATAATAAAATCATAGAAATAAGTCTAAGTAAATCTATTAGTAATTTCAAAAATGTAAGTGGATTAAAATACCTAAAAGAAGAGAAAAAACTATTAGATTTGATTTTTAAAATACACCCAGCTATAGCCTAGTTACAAGTCTTAAATAAAACAAAGGGTTGAAAATAATGGGATGATCAAAAAATTATCAGGTAAAATATGAGGTAAAGGGTTTAATAAGGATAAATTATTAAAGGAACACAATAACATCAGTATAAAATAACATGAACTTGTATTTTTCTACATCAGACAGAATAATGTAGGCTATGCTACAATAAGTTATACTGGCTTCACAAACAAAAGGTTTATTTTTCACTCACACGAAGTTCTAGACAAATTTTATACCTCTGCAGACCAGCAGTTTTCCGTGTAGTGACTCAGAAGTCCCTGTTGAGGGAAGTCAAGGACCCGGAATGGAGGGACCAGCTGAAGCCATGGCAGAAGAACATAAATTGTGACGATTTCATGGACATTTATTAGTTCCCCAAATTAATACTTTTATAATTTCTTGCACCTGTCTTTACTGCAATCTCTGAACAAAAATCGTGAAGATTTCATGGACACTTATCACTTCCCCAATCAATACCCTTATGATTTCCTATGCCTGTCTTTACTTTAATCTCTTAATCCCATCATTTTCATAAACTGAGGAGGATGTATGCTGCCTCAGGACCCTGTGATGATTGCATTAACAGCACAAATTGTTTGTAGAGCATGTGTGCTTGAACAATATGAAATCTGGGCACCCTGAAAAAAGGAACAGGATAACAGCAATGTTCAGGGAACAAGGGAAATGGCCTTGGACTCCAACTGCCAGTGAGCTGGACGGAACAGAGCCATATTTCTCTTCTTTCAAAAGCAAATAGAAGAAATATCGCTGAATTCTTTTTCTCAGAAAGGAACATTCCTGAGAAAGAGAATGTGCCCCTGAGGGTAGGCCTTTGAACGGCCCCCGCAGGGGCAGCCACCTTTTACGGTCGAAGCCAAAGGGATGAAATAAGCCCCGGTCTCCTGTAGCACTCCCAGGTTTATTAGAACAAGGAAATTCCTGCCTAATAAATTTTGGTCAGATAGGTTGTCTGCTCTCAAACTCTGTATCCTGATAAGATGTTATCAATGACAATGCATGCCCGAAACTTCATTAGTAATTTTAATTTTGCCCCGTCCTGCGGTCCTGTGATCTCGCCCTGCCTCCACTTGCTTTCTGATATTTTATTACCTTGTGAAGCATGTGATCTCTGTGACCCACACCCTATTTGTACACTCCCTCCCGTTTTGAAAATCACTAATAAAAACTTGCTCGTTTTACAGCTCAGAGAGCATCATGGAACCTGCTGACATGTGATGTCTCCCACAGATACCCAGCTTTAAAATTTCTCTCTTTTGTACTCTTTCCCTTTATTTCTCAGACCAGCCAAGATGCTTAGGGAAATAGAAAAGAACCCATGTTAAATATCGGGGGTGGGGTTTCCCCCGATAAGCCCCAGCAGTTTCAAACTTGTGGTTCAAACATCTCAACATACAGCTTCCTTGGTTGCCAATTGCCAAGCAGTTGGCCAGAACTTGTCACATGGCATGACTCAACTGTTTAGGGAGCTGGCAGATGTGATGAAGCACATGCTTATTCAGTAATATTAAATGTCTCTGTCACAGCAAGTAACAAAATGTTGTTAAAATTCATAATATAAAACTGGATGATGATACAAAGAAAAATTAACAGGAAGCAATCCTAATGAAAGGGTTTTAATCTATTTCTAGTAGAGGAAAAATCAAACAGAAATAAATGATATGTTGCTTTTAGACGTACACATATATAGCAAAATACTGTTCTAAAAAATGCACATAAATGCTAATCAACACCTTCATTACAGTGGGTTGCTTCTCAGAAAGAATTAAGAAAAGCAGAATTAGAAGAGGCTACACAACAAGTTTCAACATTACTTGTAATACTCTATTTCTTCATACTGTATACATGATACCATTTATACTATTCTGTATTACTTTCTATATATTTGAAATAGTTCATATTAATTTTTAAAAGAATAACTACACGGCTGCAATAGTTGTCTATGATGTAAGAAATTATCCCAAACATAATAGCTTAAAACAACATACATTTATTATCTCACAGTTTCCATGGGTCAGGAGTCAGGGCAAGGCTTAGTTGGATGGTCAGATTCTCACAAGGCTTCAAAGTGTTGGCCAGTCTGAGGCTCAGAAACCTCTTCCAAAGTCACCTGATTGTTGACAGAAGTCATTTCTTTGCACCTGTTGAATTCATGGTGACTTGCTTTTTCAAGGTCAGCAGGGGAATCTCTGACTTTAGTCAGCTATATTGTGTATAAAGTAACATAATCATTATCTTTGCCATATATTGTAGCCTAATCAAAAGAATGACTATCAAAAGTTCTTCTCACACTCAAGGGGAGATTATTTAGAGCATATATACCAGGAAGTAGGAATCCTGGGAGCCATCTAAATTTCTACCTACTACAGTCCCTACCACAATCCCTTAAGAGTCTCATAATCCAGTGGAAGACATAGACATAAAGACAAAGGTTTAAAGCAATGTGAGATAAGCTATATTAGATATGTGTCTTCTTTTGGATCCCCCAAAAGTTGACCTAGATAGAAGATCTTAGGTGCAGTATATTTGACATGATTCCAGGAAGTATATGTGAGACAGGGAATGGAGACAGGCCAATATAAACAGTTTGTTAACGAGCAGGTTACCACTATGGGCACTGGGGCTAACTCCCACTGTGAACCCTCTAAGAACCATATGAAACATGCTTCATATTTATCTAACCGGTAAATGGAAAGCCTCAACCATTTTATCTACTGACTCCGGTCCCCTGTTGGCTGAGGCTCTCTCTCACTCTTCTAGGTTGTCACTGTGCATGGTAAGTTTCTATGGTGCCAGATAAATCCTTCATAAAGTGAAGCACAGAGGAACAGAGGCTTAAAATGGGAACTGGTCAGCATGCCAGAAACTCTACCCCACGTGCAGGGATCTCAAAGCTGGACATGTAACAATATGGGGTGAGACATTAAGAACATCTGTTACAATGTGTATATTAGGTAAATTAAGACTTGGCTGCTATAACAAATAAACATACAAATCTCGGTGGCTTAATATGATGCCATTTTATTTCTCACATACAATTCAATCAATAGGACAGTGAAGCTTTGGCAGGGTGAAAGAGTGACTGAAGTGCTCCTTGCAAACGTTCAGGAACACTGCTACCTGCATCTTCAATACATGGCTCCCAAAGACTCCTTGTCTGTATAAGCAAACGACTAACTAACAGGAGAAGAGAGAGAAGTAGATTGTATGGAAGAAAAGTTTGAGATGGCATGGCTTCACTAAAGCACAAGGGAGCTTGGGTAACATAGTCTAGTTGTGTGCCCTTTCAAAAAAGAAATAGATCAGTTGAACAGGTAGCATTTGCTACCCTGTTCACGTATGTAAAAGCATATATGACCTTTAGGTTAAATCTTGAAGAAAGATGTGGTAATTAATTTTGTGTATCAACTTGGCTGAGTCATGGGGTGTCCATATATTTGGTTAAACATTATTCTGTATATGTCTGTGAGAGTAATTCTGAATGAGATTAACATATGAATCGGTAAACTAAATAAAGCAGATTGCCCTTCCCAATATGAGAGGGCCTTATCCAGCCCACTCAAGGCCCGAGTACAATAAAGAGGTAGAGTAAGAAAGAATTTGCTCTTTACCCAACTATCTTTGAGTTGGGACATCAGTCTTCTCCCTTGACACTTGACTTAGACTGAAACTTACACTCCATCAGCCCTCCTGGATCTCAAGCCTTCAAACTCAGAATATAACTATCACCTGCAATTTGTTGACTGCAGATCCTAGAACTTCTCAGCCTCTAAAACCATGTGAGCCAATTCCTTATAGTAAATCTATATATCTATATCTATCGATATACATAAATCCTACTGATTTTGTTTCTCTGGAGAACCCAGATTAATACAGAAGGTTAAAAATGTGTCATAGAATTAACAAGGAATAAAAGCATTTCAGGCAGAGCAAAAAACAACATGGACAGAAGAACAGCTTAGAAGAACCCAAGCAGGTTCAGAGAACTGAAGTAGATTTGTTTTGACAGGACCCGTAGCAGGTGTAGTTATATGAAAGAAGAATCTGGAAATGTGGGCAGGAACCTGACAGTAAGACTCCTGATTTTACACTGTGAAGGAAATGAAAGGCTAGAGAATTTAAAACAGAAGTATACAGCATTTTCTGATACTACTTTAGGAACCTCAAGAAAGATGCTGTGTAAGAGCAAGCAAAAGGATTTTCTGCTAAATATTGTTAAACATCACCTGTCTTGAGCTCTAGGACATTTAACAAGGAAAGATGATGCATTCAGTCAAAAGTGCACGAGCCTGAAGTCAAGCAGGTTTGAGTTTAATGGTACCTGGCAAGTTTGTTATGAGAATCAAAGGGTTTGTATGTAGAGCTTTTAGCACAATGTATGACAAAAAGCGTGTGCTCAAGGAAAAAAAAAATAGTTCCTTTCTTCTCTGAGCAACAAAATAAATAGCATGAATTTATCTCAGAACCAGAGGGGGAAAAAAAACTGAATTAGTGGAAACTCTGACTTTTGGACACTGCTTGATATTGCTAACACTGTTTGTGAATAATTATGCCCTGTAAAAGGAATAACCAAAAAACTTTTAATGTGTAGCCAAGATATGCAGACTCAGTAACCCCAGCCCAAGTGCTTAATGGTAAATACCAATTGGGTGTCAAAAATGTGCAACAGACTATCTAAAGAAGGGTAATAATACTAAGCCCCAACATTAGTATTGAGAAACACTGACAATTCATAATAGTCATAGTAAAACATAGCAAGGAAATACTTTCACATTGAAATTATTTAACTCTACATTAACCGGCTGCCTAAATATATTTCTTATGTTCTATTCACTCTTTAATGAAATGTGTGTCTCTTAATAAGCTTGCATTTCATAATTAGACACATAATATTCATGCCTTGTGATTTCCCCCACAGAGAATTTCCAATGTATTAATTACAATTTTTAAAAAACCCAATTTATTCTGTGTGTTTAGTTTCTAAACATATTTTTAAAAATTTATTTAAGGCATGAACAAAATTCCATACAGTGAAAATCTGTAGGAGAAGATAAACTTTATTTGATAATTCATGACCCAAATGAATAAAGGGTGTTTAAAAAAAAAAAAAAGAAAAGAAAAGCTAACTCAAACTCTTAAAATGAATAGCGTCTTTTTGTATAAATCACTTTTGTGTTACTATTATGCCACATCCTTATTTACTTTTACTCTGCTTACAAAATATTAGATAATATAGTTTCTTTAAAAACTTCCAATCCCAGGAGCAGTGGAGCCCTGGTTCTCAACCTTGGCTGCACATTTGGAATCATTAGGGGACCTTTTTAAAAATACTCATTACCTAGGTTTCACCTCAGATCCATTGTTAAAAAAAAAAAAAAATTGAGAGTGGAACCTAAGCACAAAAATTACTTTAAAAATCTCCAGAGATTATAGAGAAATGTACAGCTTGCATCAATCCCTATTCACACTGCCACTATACCATTCAGGCCTTCAGTATCACATACCTGACTCTTTCAAGAGCCACCTAACAAGTCTTCTCACCATCCTACTTCACCATTGCCAGATTAAAAGTACCTTTAAAATGTATTTATCAAACCTAACATGCTTACTGAGGGTCTTGTTAAGATTTTAAGATGAAGGCTCTAATTAAGTTGATCTTGAGTGGAGGTTGACAGTCTACATTTCTTTCAAGTTCCCAGGTGATGTTCATGCTGCCAAGCCACAAACAACAAACCACACTGATTTATGTTTTCCAGTCATAAAGAAAACTACTGATACCACTTCCTAATTCTAGATACTTTTTCAGCTTTTTTTCTTTCTTTTTTTTATTTGACTTGGCATTTTACATTTAAAAAGTAGAATTTTTATCTTGCTTTTTAGTGAATATCCATGTTAGTTAATACGTTTTAGTAAAGACATAACATCCTTGAAGGCTTTAAGCCCTTTGACAGCTCATAGGACAAATTAGATGTATAGTAAAGAAATCTGTTTCCATATGGACAGACACAGTAAGATTCAGTATTTTGATCCCTAGTAAGTTTATAGTCATATAACTAAATATATGCAAAGTGTTGGCAAATACCACTAAAATATTTATTTAAAACTACCATTTATGGTGAGTATGGAAAAAAAGTAGCTATTATAGAAATAGAATTGCAAGATTAGAAAAACACATTCTAGTTGACTTAATCTGAAATCTATAATTTTCTAAGCCATCTATAATTTAAATTTTTAAAAGAATTTCTCATAATAGTCTAGAAATTAGCCATGCTATCTAATAATACATTACCAGTATTGTGTACTTATTTTAAACATATAGACTATGTTTAACATAGACTATGCTAACTATGGTTAACAATACCGTACAGTACCCTTAAAATGTATTAGGGGGATAGGTCTTCTGTTTTGTGATTTTTACTGCAATAACTAAGTAGGGGTCTTTACCCATAGGCAAAGCCCAAAGACGAGGCCAATATATTTGAACAATGGCAGAGTCACTGAAATAAGCAGATAAACTCCTAAAATGATACTCTTTTAAAAGACAACACTTACTAGAAACATATAGACTAAAAAAAAATCCTTAAGGAATGATTGATAAAGATTAGTTAAACTTAGTATAATGAGAAATTTTCTTCCTTTATGGTTGCCAAAAATTCATAAAAATAAAATGTTAATAATTTGTGTTCTCAGGCCTTTGAACTCAGACTGAAACTATGCATTAGCTCTCCTGTGTCTCCCGCTAGCCAAAAGCCAATCTTGGAACTTAGCCTCCATAATTGCTGAGCCAATTCCCTGTAATAAATAAATATGTGTGTGTATATATCTATCTATATATACACACACACATGCTTGCATGACTGAAACTTTATACCCATTGAGCAACATATTAGGGTTCTCCAGAGAAACAGAATCAACAGTACACACACACACACACACACACACACACACACACAGCTCAATGTATTAGTCAGTTTTGGAGAAATATAGATCATGTTGTATTCCATTTAAAACCTATTTATTGATGTAGAACATGGAATGTGTCAAAAGTGTTTAATTGCTCCCACTCCCTCCTTTGTATTTTATGTATCATTATTGTGAAGAAGGGGTGGTAGAAAAAAGAAGGAGGAGGAGAAGAACTTTGGGTATATTACATAGTCAATGTGTATGTGTATACGTGTGTACTATTGGTTCTGTTTGGAGAAC